TGCCGGGCCCTGGGCCAGTGCCGGGGCAAAACTGGAGGGTGCGGTTCATTTGCGGGCACGGAAAAAAACAAAAGACAAAAAAAAAAAAAAGATTATGGGGGGCCGGCGGGGGGGCGCAGGGGATAGGGCGCCGCTTGGGAAGCGCGGCGGCGCTCCCGCCCGAGGGTTCGGATCCCACATACAGACCGGTTCCTGCTCACTGGCTGAGCGAGGCGCGGGAGCAACACCAAGGGTTGCGATCCCGTTGCCGGTCCCTGGTCCAGTACGGGGGCAACACTGAGGGTTGCGATCCATTGCCGGACACGGAAAAAGACAAAAGACAAAAAAAAAAAAAGATTATGATGTGTGCACCAGATAATACCATATAAGTCTAGCTCCTAACATACCTATTTGTTTAACGAATTAAGTGAAATTCATCAAATTTGCTATCATCTATAGAATTTAACACTACAAGCCCCCATACTCTTCCAAGTTAATTCCCTGTCCGAACAAAGAAAACTGTTTTGCTCTCCCTTTCCCCACTAACGAGTGCCAAAGCATCTCTTCTTCCCTGACTTCCTCTCACACTCCTCGGCTCCAGCCAGTGGGGATCTCACTGAGGTGTGGGCCATCAGAATCTAGGTGTTCTTTCTTTAGCTCTTGGGGGATCTAATGGGACAGGTTCAGTTTCTTCAGCAACAAGCATGGTTGGTGGGGCTAAGATACAAAAACAGGACCTCACCTATAAAACTTAAAAAACAAAAAGAAACATATACATTGCAGTAGTTATTGAAGGAACAATAGTATTTTAAATGAAAAGTGGTGTTCCTAAAATTCAACACAGCTTATTACTAAAATCACATGACTGTTCCCAGCCAAATACATGGCATTTTCAGGAAATGGAAGTTAAGAAGAAAACAGAAAGGAGTTTAAAAAAAAAAAAAAGAAACAACTTCATGACTTCAGCTTCTCCAGGGTGTCAACCAATCAGGATCAGCAGCCATCCAGAATCCACCACCTGCAAAAGTTAAAGGCAATTAAACAATAAGTGTGATACTCAAAAGTAGTCCCACTGTTCAAGTAAATGAATAAAATAAGAATATATATACATGCATATTTATGTGTATGTGCACCTACAATGACAGAAAGTGGTTAATTTTCTGTGAAGCAAATAAGTTATTTTTTAATCAGAAGGGGACCTTAGGAAATTGGTTTCTCTTTGGAGTGTTTCCATTCTTTCTTACCTTCCTGAAATCAGTGAGTCTGTCCCGGGTCAAGGCCTCCACTCTCAACTGGCATGTAGACTTTCTTACATTTATAGCAGAACGTGCGCCATGAAAAATTCATCGCTTTACACCATGGACAGTCCCACTTCTCTGGACTGTAGCCTGGGGCAGCCTTCTCTTGTTGCGGTGATTTTGAGGCTTTTTTCCCTTTTGGTTGCTTGGCTTTCTGCCCCTGAGGCTGCTGTTTCTTTGGGCTTCCTTTCACATCTTGGCTCCTCAGCGAGGTCGCCTGGGGTCTCTCTGGACTTTCTTCCTGGCTGTGGCTTCTGCTAGACCCCAGGGGGATGGTCTTCTGGGGCCTCTCTGGATCTTCCTCCTGGCTTTGACTTCCAGAGTCCCCAAAGGGGACCACCTTCTGGGGTCTTTCTGGACCTTCTTCCTGGCTCTGGCTCTCCCCCTGGGGCCTCTCTGGATCTTCTTCTAGGCTGCGGTGCCCACTGTCCCCAAGGGGGGGCATTCTCTGGGGCACCTCTGTACCTTCTTTTTGGCTGTGGTCACTGCTGTCTCCCAGGGCAGCCATCCCCTGGGGCATCTCTGGACCTTCTTCCTGGGTGTGGTCACTGCTCTCTCCCAGGGCAGCCATCCCCTGGGGCATCTCTGGACCTTTTTCCTGGCTGTGGCTTCTGCTGTCCCCTAGGGGGGCTGACCCCTGGAAACTCTTCGAACCTTCTTCCTGGACATAGCTCCTCTGGTCCCCCTGAGAGACCATCGCCTGGAAGCCCACTGCAGTGCATGGGCCAGGTGGGTAGACCCCCATACCAGACATCTGTAGTGGCACTACTGATGTTTCTGTTTCTGTGACTAGTCCAGGTGGTTGAGGTGGCACAAATGGGGACCCCATTACAAATGGTGGGTGTAATGGGAATGGCGGTGGCACTGGCATTGGCATAGGAGGGTGCATGGGCTGGGCCCAGGAACCCGGAGGTCCTCGCATGTAGACAACTGCTGCTGGGGCTGGCATCTGGGACTCACAATACAGCCTACCATGTGCCCGTGTAGCCACCACCTCTCTCTGTGGCTCTACGTTTTGGGGCCAAGCTGCAGCCCCCTGCTGCTCAACTCGCAGCCCGGGCTTTATTTCATGGGCCAGCGAGTCAGCCTGGGAAGACCCCTCGGCCCGGAGCAGCTTCCTGCGCAGCATATCGCGCTCATCCTTCGCCTGCTGCAGGGCGGCCTGCGTGGCACGCAGCTGTTGGACCGACTCATCACGCTCCATGCGCAGCCGCTGCAGCTGAGTGGCCAGAGCCCAGGTGGCCGCCTCACGCTCTTCCACCTGCTGCTGCAGCTGCCGGATCCGGCACGACTGCTGCTCCTGCTGCCTTGCGGCCACGCGCACACTCAGCGCCAGGCCGCTCCAGGTGCAGACCCTCTTAAGGGAGCGCGGCACCTGAGGATCGGTCAAAATGGCCCGAAGCTGGTCCTCTACCTCATTCCAGGGCCGCGAGCGGAAGGCCAGGTAGAAATCTGGGCCACCGCCATTCATGAGGACTTCATTGTTGATAAATTTGATCACCTCCCTGTGGCGGAAACCGCTAGCGTGGTCTCCAAAGTCCACAGCCATGGCCGCTGCGGCCTAGTCAAGCGACCACCTCACGGAACGCGGCTGCTGGTTATAGGCTGTAGCAGCCAACTGATACCCCCCGCACCTCCCTGCTCAGTCCTAATTCAGTTTTTGTCTAGTCTTGACCTCCTCCTCGGTCTGCTTCCTCCCACACCACCTCAAACTCCTCACAAAGAAGCCAATCTCCTCACCACACCAAACCCTGCACATCGGCGGGACTACGCGGCACACGGCATGGCGCAGCACGTCGACGGCATGGCGTAGCACGTCGACGGCATGGCGTAGTTGACGGCCGTGGCGTAGTACGTCAACGGCATGGCGTGGGCGTCTACGGCATGGCATGGCGTGTTGACGGCATGGCGTGGGGTGTCCACTGCATGGCGTGGCATATCACAGCATGTCACAGAGAGAAGCTCTGAATCATGATGCAAGGCCTGCTGGGAACAGCCTTCCTTGGCACAGAACAGATTAATGGTTGCTCAGGCGATTGCCAACAGAAGCTTTGATTTCAAAAGCTTGGGAATGACAGTACTCAGCATCATGGAATGAATTGCTAGCTAGGTGTTAGAGTTGGATAGGTGCACACATAGGGGCTGCTCTTGTCTCAGTTCCATCTCCCTTACTTGCAGTTACTACTTCAAACCTTCCCCGTAGGAAGTCACATTGTCTGCATGCTTTCCTCCTCATTCTGAGCAAACAAACTTAGAGTCCCTGTCATCAAGAAAATCAAGTTACTGAACTGTGAAGTCACTGAATTCTCCCTGTAAATTCACTCACATTTTTATCTGGTCAGCCCTAATCTCAGAGAGTGTCTTCTTTTAAACTAAATGCTCCTCCCATAATCTGTATCTTTCCTAGGAGAAATGCTGAAGAGTATCCTGCAGGCCATACTAGACAGTAATTGGAATCCAAACAAAGACATAAAGCACATGTTAAAGGTAACTATAAAAGTAAATTCAAAAGACAGTATTAATGTATTTCTGGCTTATAACTCCTCTATTCTAATATGTGATTTAAAAGACAGCTGCGTACAATAATATAAATCTATGTTGATGGGCACATATATAAAGTTGTAATTTATGACAATAACAACATAAAGGGAGATGAAGCTATATAGGAGCAAAGTTTTTATAGACTATTGAAGTTAAGTCGGTATTAATCTGAAATATATTGTTATAAGTTAAGATGTTAATTGTAATTCCCAGGTCAACCACTGAGAAAATAACTAAAAAATATACAGAAAAGGAAATGAGAAGGGAATCAAAATGGTACACTATTTTAAAAAGTAATGAAACACAAAAGAAGGCAGTAATGAAGAAATTGAAGGGAAAAGAATATGACATATTATAAAACAAATAGCAAAATGTCAGAAATAAGTCCTCCCTTATCAGAAATTATATTAATTGTAAATGGATTAAACTCTAATTAAAAGAATGGGTAAATTTTTTTAATTATCCAAATATATATTGCCTAAAAGAGACTCATTTTAGATCTAAAGATGTAAATTGGTGGAAAGTAAAAATACAGAAAAGGCTATTCCACACAAACAGCAACCAATTGTGAGCTAGAGTGGTTCTACAAATACCAAACTAGACTTTAAGAAAAATTTGGTGAGATAAAAAGTAGGATATTGTATAATGCTTAAGATGTTCAATCCATCAAGAAGATATATCATTTACAAACATAAGCACCTAACAACTGAGCCCCCAAATACATGCATAAATGGACAGAATTGAGGGGAGATAATGACAGTTCTACAATAGTAGTTGTAGACTTCACATACCCCATTTTCAATAATAGACACAAAGACTTGACAGAATATCAACAAGAAAATAGAACATTTGAACAATACTATTTAAAAAAAAGGACTTAACACACATCTATTCAACAGTCAACTCCAAAACTTTAAACTACATATTCTTCTCAAGTGTGCATGAAAAATTCTCTAGGACAGATCATATGTTAGGCCACAAAACAACTCTCAATAAATTTAAAAAGATTAAAATTATACTAAGTATGTTCTCTGACTACAGTGGAATGAAATTGGAAATCAGTAACAGAAAGAAATTTGCAAAATATACAATTACGTGAAAATTAAACAACACACTCCTAAATAACCACTAGGTCAAAGAAAAAGTCACAAGAGAAATTTAAAAACATGTTGATATGAATGAAAACAAAAACACAACATACCCAAACTCAAAGGACTCTGCAAAAGCAGTGCTCATAAGGGAAATTTATAGCTGTAAATGGCTGCATTTTTTTTTTAAAAAGAAGCATATCAAATTAATAACCCAACCACCTTTCTTAAGGAATTAGGAAAAGAAGAGAAAACTAAACCCAAAATAAGCATAAGAAAGGAAATGATAAAGATTAGAGTGGAGATAAACAAAATATAGAAGAGAAAAACAATTAAAAAATGAAACCAAAAGTTGATTCTTTGGAAATATCATCAGAATTGACAAACCTCTATGTAGATTGTTGAAGAAGAAAAGAGATTAGATTCAAATTACTCCCCCCCACAAAAAAAGATTCAAATTACTAAAACCCGAAATGAAAGTGGGACATTTACTACTGACCATACAGAAATAAAAACAATAACAGAATACTATGAACAATTATAATGCCAACAAATTAGTTACCTAGATGAAATGGACAAATTCACATAAAACATAAACTACCAAAACTGAGTTAAGAAAAAATAAAAACTGTAAACAGGCCCTCAAGAAGTAAAGAGATTGAATCAGTAATCAAAAATCTCTCAATATGGAAAACCGCAGGACCAGATGGCTTCACTGAAAAATTCTACCAAATATTTACAGATGTAACAGAAATCCATTTCAAACTCTTCTAAAAATATAAGAGAAGGGAATACTTTCTAACCCATTCTTTGAGGCTGGTATTATCCTGACATCAAAGCCAGACAAAAACATGACAAGAAAAGAAAACTATAGACTAATATTCCCTATACATATAGGTACAAATATCCTTAACAAAATACTAGCGATCCTAATTCAGCGGCATGTTAAAAGGGTTCTAAAACATGACTAAATGGGATTTACCTCAGTAATACAAGAGTGGTTCAATACATGAAAATCAATCAACTTAATAAACCATATCACTAAAATGGAGAGGGAAAACTACATGATCATCTAATAGATACAGAAAAAAACATTTGACAAAATCCAACACCTTTTAATGAGGGGGGGGGAACAAACCTCAACACACTAGAAATAGAAAGGAACTTCCTCAACCTGATAAAGAGCACTTATGAAAATCCCACAGTTGACATTATACTCAGTGGTGAAAGACTGACAGCTTTCCTTCTAACACCAGAAACAGACAAGAATGCCACTTTCATCATTGCTATTCAACATTGTCCTGGTATTTCTAGCCAGAACAATTATGCAAGAAAAAGAAATAAAAGGCATCCAAATTGAGACGGTATAAGTAAAATTATCTTTATTTGTAGAGGACATAATCCCATATATAGAAAACCTAAATAAATGGAAAGACGTTCCATGCTCATGGATTGGAAGACTTCATATTTTTAAGATGACAGTACTCCCAAAAGTGATGTACAGATTCAATGCAATCTCCATCAAAATCCCAGTAGCTTTTTTTGCAGAAATGTAAAAGCTGACCCTAAAATTAATATGGAATTGCAAGGGACCCTGAATAGCCAAAATAATCTCTCTAAAGAAGAGGAAAGTTGGAGGATTCATACTACCTGATTCCAAAACTTCCTACAAGGCTAGAGTATCCAACAGAGTGGTACTAGCATAAGGATAGACATACAAATCAATAGGAGAGAATCGAGAGTCCAGAAATAAACACATGCATCTGTGGTAAATTGATTTTCAACAAGGGTACCGAGAACATTTAATGGGGAAGAAATCGTCTCTTCAACAATTGGTTCTAGGATAACTGAATATCCACATTCGAAAAAATAAAGGTGGCCCACTACCTCAGCCATATGTACAAATTAACTCAAAAGTTTTTTGCTTTGTGTTGCTGCTTGTTTGAGGCTGTCGTTTTATTTACTTTCCTAAATGATTTTTGTTCAGATTCTATTTGTCGTATGTGGCCACTGAAGTCTGTTCTGTTAGCTTAGTGGTCCGCTACTGTGTATTGAAAGAGTTTCCATAAACACCTGGAGCCCAAAACGATTTTTTTAAAAAGGGAAAAATATTTTCAACTCTCCCAATCTTTGAAGATTAGCTCTGTTTTGGGACACTCCTTCAACGCTTACACTGATCATTTATAATGCAGCCTTTGCCTTTACTTCTTGCTTGTACAGAACCTGAAAGTCAGCAAGAGGTGGAAGCGTAGGGTCTTCTCAGGCCTTTTCAGAGCATGTGTCCAGTCTTGCACATGTGGCATAGCCTTCTCAATTTCCTTACACAGGAGCTTTAAAAAGCCCTCCTTCCTCCCACATATTTCTTTTCCCACTCTCTTTCTTCCAGGTTTTTTGGTCTATTACTTGTTCTGACTGCTATTCCTTGCCCCAGACTGCTAAAGCCAATACTTTTGCCTTTAAATGCTTTTGGCAAGTGCCACCTAGGAAGCCACACCAGCCCTGCAAATGCCCAAGAGTCAAATGGACAAGAGACAAAGGCAAGCCCTTGCACCAGTCTTTCCTGACAAATTGAAACATCCAACCAGAGTTCTTTGAGAATAAGGTCCATATTGCTCCCTCTGGCACTTGGCAACCTGTACCAGGAGTACAAGCTGTTGTCTTCATGGTGGCCTCTGATCTGGTGTGTGAAGAATGGTAAGCAGGCAATTTACAACACCAGAGAACTCCCTTACTGCAATGCAGCAGCTTCTTTCTTCAGTAAGGTCTCCCCTGGTTGTTGCAAATTTTTGACTAGATTCCAGAGTTCTGCAAAAGTTGATTCTGACAATTTTTGCCAGCTCATTAGTTGCTTTTATGCAGGGATAGAGCCCTGGAATTCCCAGCTCTGCCATTTTTGGTATAAAGAGAGCTACTATACCCA